TGTAGTAATTGAGTCACATCTTTCGGCTTCACTTCTAATTCCAGTTCTCCTATTTCCACCACATCTTCAGTTCCTTTCTCCACTGAAGCCTTGAACCTCTCAAAGGCATCCATGAGGGATGGAATCAACTTAGTCCAAACGCCTGTTGATGATGATATTTTGATCTCCTCCCATGAATCATAAATGTCCTCAATGGCATCTAAAATGATGAATTCTTTCCGAAGGATTCATTTACTTTGCCCAGACCCATTAGAGGAATCACTGTCTACGGCAGATATAGCCTTACAAAATGTATTTCTAAATAATAAGACATGAAAGTAGAAATGACTCTTTGATCCATGGGCTGCAGAATGAATGATAACACAGATGAAAACATTAACATTCTTGTACATCTCTATCAGAGCTCGTGGGTGACCAAGTTCATTGTCAATGAACTTTAATATTTTGAAAGGAATCTTTTTTTTTCCCCTGAGTACTAGACCTCAACAATGGGTTTTAAATAGTCAATAAACCATGCTCTAAACAGATGTGCTATCGTCCAGGCTTTGTTCCATTTATAGAGCATGGGCAGAGTAGATTTAGCATCATTTTTAAAGGCTCTAAGATGTTCAGAATGGTATAAGAGCACTGGTTTCAACTTAACCACCAGCTGCATTAGACCCTAACGGGAGTAAGACTCTACCAAGGAGTTTGAAGCCAAGCATTGACTTCTCTCTAGCTACGAAAGCCCTAGATGGCATCTTCTTCCAATATGAGGCTGTTTTGCCCACATTGAAAATCTGTTGTTTAGTGTAGCTGCCTTCATTGATGATCTTAGCTAGTTCTTTTGGATAACTTGCTGCTTCACCTTGAACTTTTGTTATATAGACAGCTTCTTTCCTTAAACCTCATGAACCAACCTCTGCCAACTTCCAACTTTTCTTCTGCGGCTTCCTCACCTCTCTCAGTCTTCACAGAACTGAAGAGTTAGGGCCTTGCTGTGGATTAGGCTTTGGCTTACAGGAATGTTGTGGCTGTTTGATGTCCTATCCAGACCACAAAACATTCTCCATATCAGCAATGAGGCTGTTTTGCTTTCTTATCATTTGTGTGTTCGCTGGAGTAGCACTTTTAATTTCCTTCAAGAACGTTTCCTTTGCATTCACAACGTGGTTACCTGTTTGGTGCTAGGGGACGAGTTCTTGGCCTGTCTCAGCTTTCAACATGCCTTCCTCACTAATCTTAACCATTTCTAGCTTTTGATTGACAGCGAGAGACATGAGACTTCCTTTCACTTGAACACTTAGAGGCCAGTGTAGGGCTAATTGGCCTAATTTCAATATCGTGTCTCAGAAAATAGGAAGGTTCAAAGAGAAGAGAGATGGAAAATATGGTCAGTGAAGCACTCAGAACACAATGTTTGCTGTAGTATATGGGCACAGTTTGTAGCACCCAAAACTATGACAACAGTAACTTCAGCAATCACTGGTCACAGATCACCATAACAGATAATGAGTTTGAAATACTGAGAATTGCCGAAATATGACAGAGACATGAAGTGAGCTCATGCTGTTGAAAAACGGACCTGACAGACTTGCCTGATGCAGAATTGCCACAAACCCTCAATTTGTTTAAAGAAAAAAAAAAGCAATATATCGAGGAGCAATAAACTCAATTTTTTAAAAAGTATGCCTGCATATGAAGTACTTAAAGTAGTCAAATTCATTGAGACAGAGTCAATGGTGGTTACCAGGGGCTGGGGAAGGAGGAATGGGAAGTTAGTGTTCAAGAGTTACAGAGTTTCAGTTTGGGAGGATGAACAGGTTCTGAAGATGGATGACAGTAGTGGTTGAACGACGTGAATGTACCTAATGTCACCGAGCCGTACACCTAATAATGGTACATTTGATCATGTATATTTACCACAATTTTTAAAAAGAAAATAATTGTAAAAAAAGAAAGAGGAAAAAGATCCATGAAGACGAAGTCTTGGAGCTACAGGGAAGAAGCAGCAGCATTAGGAACGGGGAGGAGGAAAAGGGAGGAAAAGGCAGGTAAAGGCAGGGGTGTCTAGGCAGCCCAGGGAGGGGCTGTAAGAAAATCTCAAGGCGGGGTGGTCATCCATGCCAGATATTGCTGAGAAGTTGAGACACCCAAGGACTGAGAAAGGGTCACTGATGACCTTCCAATAAGCAGTGTGTGTAGACATTACACGGAGTTTTAGATAGGTGAATGGAAAAACAGGAGGCAGAGAGTGGCAATAATTCATGGAGAGAATGAGTCTTACGTTCCAATTCAAAAAGCCAAACACATACTTGGGAATGCACGTCCCAGTTGTCTGAGGAATGGCAGAGAAGACGTGAAAGCCAAACCTTGGCAGGACCTTCTGACCTTGACATCCTTTACGCTTACATGAGAAATGGTGCTATGCAACAAGCTTGTAGTGCCTCTACTGTTGTTTCTTTAGCGATTGTTTTTATTTTTCAGACAAGGACTATGTTACCCAGGCTGGTCTCAAACTTCTGGCTCAAGTGATCTTTCCACCTTAGCCCCCTTAAAGTGCTGGCATTACAGGCTTGAACCATTGCACCTGTCCAGTAATTGTTTTTAAATTGTTACAAATAGCTGGGTGTGGTGGCACATGCCTGTGATCCCAGCACTTTGGGGGGCGGAGGCCAGAAGTTTGCCTGAGCCCACAGGTTCGAGACCAGCTGGGCAATTTGGCAAGACCTCATCTTTACAATAAATTAAAAAATGAGCCAGGAGTGATGGCGCACACCTGTAGTTACAGCTACTTGGAAGACTAAAGCAGAAGGATCGCCTGAGCCCAGCAGGTTGAGGTTGCGGTGGCCATGAGTGTGCCACTGTACTCCAGCCTGTGCAAGAGTGAGACTCCTACTCAAAAAAAAAAAAAAAAAAATGTTATTTTGAGGGATAGATATTTTATATCAAAGCCTCATTTGCCTTCAACAGAAAATAACCCATAAAACTAAGTACAAGGAGAAAAATATAATGAAAGCAAAGCTTTCTCTTTTGTTTAAATTTCAGCTATGTATTGTTGCTGCCTCAGTTAGTGACTTGCTGTAATACTTTGACTTTAACTTATGGTTTAAAAAAAAAAAAAAAACAAGCCCAACCCGGACAACTTGGTAAGACATTGTCTCTACAATAAATCACAAAAACTAGCTAGACATGGTGGCGTGCATCTGTAGTTCCAGCTACTTGAAAGGTTGAGGTGGAAGGATCGCCTAAGTCCAGCAGGTGGAGGCTGAGGTGGCCATGAACGTGCCACTGCACTCCAGACTGGGTGACAAGAGTGAGACTCCAACTAAAAAAAAAAAGAAAAAAGAAAACACTGCTCCTGTTAACGCTGTAGAGATATAGTAGTCCCCCTTCTCCACTGTTTCACTTTCCAAGGATTCAGTTACAAATGGTCAGCTGAGGTCCGAAAATAGGTGCGTTCAGCACAGGAAGCTATTTTGAGAGCAGTAACAGTCATAACTTCTATCACAGTATATTGTTATAATTGTTCTACTTTATTACTGTTGTTGTTAGTCTCTACTGTACCTGATTTCTAGACTGAATTTTTATCACAGGTGTGTATGTATGGAAACACAGTATAACACTCAGTTCTATCCACAGTTTCGGGCCTCCAAAGGAGATCTTAGAATGTATCTTCCACAAACAAAGGGAGACTGCGTATACACATAAAGGTGAAACATGTTTTTAAAACCTATACTCACCCTTGCTACTGTTAATAAGCTATGCTTTTTCTATTCTATCTTAGATCTTTTTAAAATAATGGACTTGATCCATTCGATGGATTCACCACCCACTAAGGGTTTAGTCCCAAATCCTTTGGTTTCAAAAACATTGGGTTAGTGAATATTACAGAAGCATTAAAGACACACCATGACCAACCTAAGATCTCCTTGAACTGAGAAGACTTGAAAGATAATCAAAAAGAACTTCGCCAGTTGGTAAGTCCATTTTATTTCATGCTGTTATCAGGGCACCAACTCCAATCAACAGATACACCGCTTGTGGTGCACAGCCCACGCTCTAAGGGACACTGAGCTAAAGAATGGTGGAAGAAGGAGCTGTTACTTTTCCAGCAGAGTAGGGTGCCAGGGGCTTCCTCACTGCTATTCTGCACATGCAGGTTCAGGTTCATGGTCCCAGTCACAAAAGCAATAAGTTCCTCAGTCGTGGGACAGGCCTTATGCTTCTGAATTGTGAGGACATCACTCTGCAGCCCTACCAATTCATGTCATAACTGTACTATTTCCAATTGTGGCTACAACAACTGACCACAAACTTACTGACTTAAAACACCACAAATTTATTCTCTTACTGTTCTGGAGGTGAAAAATCTGAAACCTGTTTCATTAAGCTAAAATCAAAGTGTCAGCAGGGCTGGTTCCTTCTGGAGGCTCTGAAAACCTCTTGCCCTAGTCAGCATCTAGTGGCTGCCTATATTCCGCGTCTTTTAGCTCCCTCCTTCATCTTCAGAGCACATCAATTCACAATCTCTACTTCCATCATCACACCACCTCCTCCTGACTCCTCCTCATAAGGACCCTTGTGTGATCCGATCAGGCCCACCCAGGTAATCCAGAACAATCTCATCTCAAGATCCTTAACTTAATCACGTTTGCAAAGCCCCCTTTGTCACCGATGGTAAATATGGTTCTTAGGGATTGGATTTGGACATTTTAGGGGACCATCTTTTAGCCTGCCACAATGACCAAGATGAATAATAAGCAAGTTAGTCTGACCAGGACAGAAATAAGAGCCAGAGTCAAGATGCTGGATACAAAATCAGGTGGTATAACAAAAAACACATGGAGGAGTAAATCCCAAAATGGATCCAAGGTCATGAGCTGAGTCTGACTCACAGGGAGTAAACCAAAGTCAAAATAGAACTCTGGATCCTTGGCTTTAGTGATGTCAAGGTGATCCCAGCCACCTCATGGTGAACAGAATAAGCAGCAGCCAGACAGTAGAGACCAACACACAGGCAATTGACAAGTGAGATTTATTTAAACAACAATATGTCAACAGGAACAGGAACTGGCGTGACAACCTTAGTGAATGAGGTTTCTCAGAGTGTGTGATGAGACCTGGAGACGAGGCCTGCCCATTGCTCAGGGAGCTCAGAGCATCTCCTCCAGGAAGGCTAGTGGCTTCAGCTTCTGGTTCAGCGTGAGTCTTCAACAGATTAACAAGTTATCTCCTTCAGACCTGAGAAGGAAACACACAGATGCTGTTAAAAGACTCTGACTCTTACAGAGTGGAGCCAGGACAATAGAGCTGGGAGACGGTGAGCCTGAGCACCAGTCACACATCTGCCACATGTCTGACCACTGCAGCTCTGCTCTCCTAGATTGTAAAGTGAGGTTTCACAAGGAAACAAAAGGTTGAGTGAGACTGTGTTTATGGGTGGTTTTAAAAGGATTAAGAAAGTATTATAATAGTTTATGGGCTATGCAGTTAACAACAAAAATCTACCCTTTACATACTGAACTTTGAGCAAATGCAGAGAAGGTTCTTCAACACACACACATGAGTACTAATATCACGAAGCAACCAGGTGGACAGTGGGGGCAAAAGAAGCCCCTTACATTAAAATGTTCAGGATGTTGTTCCTTTGCAAGAACTAGAGCTAACTTAAAAGTATTCAAAACAATCTACATTTCCAAAAGTATGTTCAGACACAGTCACAGAATATGATTTTATAAAGTCATTAAAATGCTCACTGAGAGTTTTTAGTATTAAGGGGGAAATGCTTATGTTATAATAGTAGTTTGATAACATCAGAAATCAAAGTTATATAACACATATAAATTTGACTATTAAAAATAGGCTGGGTGCAGTGGCTCAAGCATGTAATCCCAGCACTTTGGGAGGCTGAGGCAAGAGGACTGCCTGAGCCCAGGGACTCAAGACCAGGCTGGGCAACTTGGCAAGATCTCATCTCTACAGTAAATAAAAAAATTAGCTAGGTATGGTGGCGTGCACCTGTAGTTCTAGCTACTGGAAGGCTGAGGCGGAAGGATTGCCTAAGCCCAGTAGGTTGAGGATGTGTAGTTGTGAGCGTGCCACTGCAGTCCAGCCTAGGTGACAGAGTGAGACTCTGACTCAAAAATAAAAAGACACACACACACACTAGAAAAAAAGAAGGAAAAAGTTAGGTTATCTTCGAATGACTGGTATACAGGTGAAATTCTTTTCTTTGCCATACTTTAGAAGTTTCCAAATTCTCTATTAAAAGTTAAATTGTGGGGGAGGGGTACACCTCGTCAACAAGGGTACCTGCATAATAAACATTTGTATACTTAACCCTAAGTTGTACCCCACATCTTTAAAATAAAACAAATTAAAAGAAAAAAGTTAAAATGTTTTTATAATTAAGAGAAGGATAATATAGAAACACACCAATAAATTACTTTAAATCAAAAACAAATTTGAAAGGATTTTGTGGGCTGAACTGCAGAGCTGGGCAAATTTATAAAGGAGTAGAAAGACAGGCACAGCAGAGCTGGTTGTCAGTCTCATGTCAACCTGGATCTTAAACAGGGGACAGTCCTTGCCTCTGTCGTGTTCTTTGTTTGGTATCAGCTGCCCGCCTGAGGTTGTCTGTCATTCAGATTACATCTGGAGGAAGCTTGAAGGACAGCTATTACATTAAAGGCCAGACCTGGGATCTAAAGTGGTCTCCACTGGGCTGGAGAAACACCCAAGGACTAACCACTGGGGGAAGCAAGCCCAGCATGGGGCAGCCATAAAGAAGGAGCTGGACCAACACCAACCAGCAAGAAACTGAGACACAGATCCACTCTCACTCCCCATGACCCTACTTGGCCACTGCAGGGAGGTACACTTTAATCGTGAGTGAAAGGGGAGTAATTCAACCCCCCCAGCTGCATGGATTTGTTAGAGAGAAGTAATGACTCATGTGTTTAACATCTAGGAAACCTGGCTATAAGCTGCTGAAGACAAATACTGGTTACATTTATGAAGATTATTACTTTAAACCCTCAAGGTCTTTACCCCCAAATGTGGAAATTCTACAGCTGATCTCTCAAGGGCTGTTTGTTTTGGGATACATGGCTTATTTAAACAGTTCTGGGTTTTATGCTATGAAAACACAGAAGATATAACAGCAAGTTCTCTGGATAGGCTCATGAATACACGTATATGATCCTCTAATTCTGTCTGGGCTCAAAGTTCCAGGTATGTCTTTCATTTTTTGGAGAAGAAAAGTTCCCCATTCCTAGGTCAAAACAGCCAAACTCAAACGACACACCTAGCTCACTTCCTCCTTTGGTTGCCCAGCAAAGGCAGTAATGCTGCATGAGCTGCTCAAGGAGCTCCATTTCATCCAGGAATTCAAGTGATTCTATCCTGAGGAGAGAAAACAGAACAACATAAATTTCCACACTTAAAATAAATATGATGACCCATAGTTACAGATAGGGAAAGATGTTCATGATCTATTAAGTGAAAAGAAGCAGGCTACAAAATACTATGTACAATGTGGTTCTGTTTTATTTTCATTGAAATGTAGAAGAAAATACCACAAAATCAAAAGACAAATGACAAACTAGAAAAATATATTTGCAATAAAAATGGCAAAGGTTTGATTTTCTTGTATATAAAGAGTTGTTAAACTTCAATAAGAAAAACTTTTAAAATTCATTTAAATGCCGGGCTCGGTGGCTCAGCCTGTAATCCCACGCCTTTGGGAGGCTGAGGTGAGTGGATTGCCTGAGCCCGCAGGTTCAAGACCCGCCTGGGCAGGCGAGACCTCATCTCTATAATAAAATCAAAAAATTAGCCGGGCGTGGTAGCGCATGCCTGTAATTCCAGCTACTCGGAAGGCTGAGGCGGAAGAATCACCGGAGCCTAGCAGGTCGAGGCTGCGGTGGCTGGGAGCGGCCACTGCACTCCAGTCTGGGCGACCGAGTGAGACTCCGACTCAAAAAAAAAAAACAAAAACAAATAAAATTCATTTAAATGATGGGCAAAAGACAGTTCTGCTTTTAAGAATTTATTTTACCTTTTCCCATACCAACTAGTGGTTGATTGGGTTGCATGGCAGCTTTATGTTTAATTTTTAACTGCCAAACCCTATTCTCAAGTGGTTTTGAAGGACAAAACCATTTGAAGGACAACATCAAAAAATTGTCCACAGTTTATCACAGGCTTTGCATTTAAAATAGTATACAAGGAGATAAATATTATTCCTATTGATGAGAAAATGAAAAAGCAGATTAGTCAGTGCTAGCAAGAGCACAGTGATAAGTTTAAATCAAGAAAGACTTCATCAGAATCAGCCAGATTATTTACTGTAAACCTATTTAGAAAATTATTTTCATCCACATCATCCTTAATATCACTGAAAACGTACTGAAGGTTACCTCTGAGGAAGGAACAGAATGAAGGATCGGCTGTACTCTCCTGTATTGTTTGTTTGTTTGTTTGTTTGTTTTTAACAAAAACATTTTATTAATTCTGTCATTTTATTTTATTTTATTTTTAGTTGGAGTCTCACTCTGTCGTCCCGGCTTATTTTTTGATTTATTATAGAGACAAGGTCTCATCAAGTTGCCCAGGCTGGTCTCAAACCCCCAGGCTCCGGCAATTCTCTTGCCTCAGCCTCCCAGACTCCCAAAGTGCTGGGATTACAGGCTGAGCCACTGTGCCCAGCCTACTTATGTAATTTTAAATATTGTGTTGCAATAAAAAAATATATATGTATACACACTGCTAGGCAACAAGAAGAGAAAAGAAACAAGAGAAATCCAGAATGAAAATCACTTTTGGTCCCCTATTTCAGCGCCTAGATCTTTTTTTTTTTTTTTTTTTTTGAGTTGGAGTCTCACTCTGTCGCCCAGACTGGAGTGCAGTGGTCGCTCCTGGTCACCGCAGCCTCGACCTGCTGGGCTCTGGTGATCCTTCCACCTCAGCCTTCCAGTACCTGGAACTACAGGCGGGCACTACCACGCCCGGCTAATTTTTTATTTTATTGTAGAGATGAGGTCTCGCCAAGTTGCCCAGGTGGGTCTCGAACCTGCAGGCTCAGGCAATCCACTTACCTCAGCCTCCCAAGACGTGGGATTACAGGCTGAGCCACCGAGCCTGGCTAACACCTAGATCTTAAAGACTTTGAAGTTGGAAGATAAAATTTATATTATCCTCTGGTGCCAGAATGCCAGAGAATGTACTGATCAATAGATTATTGAGAGAGTGAGAGAGAAGGAAGCATTATAAATGTAAACTTTTAAATATACACATACAGAGAGAAATATATACAAATGTGTGGAAACAGTTTTTTAAAAAAAGTTTTCTGTTGAGATATGTGCAAACTATAGAAGGAAATTCAAGCATTTCCAAAAGGAACACAAAATAAAAAATGATCCATATTCCCACTATTCACAATAGCCATTGCTAACAAACTTGTATTGTCATTTGTCCAGGCTTTGTGTGCATGTGTGTACACACATGCATGGTGAGTGCATATGTGTGCATGTTTCTTCATTGTGAATTCACTCGAATCCATCTTGATATGCAGGCCTAAGGCCCACATCTGAAATGAGAAAGACTATACATAACACACTTTGGTTGCTTCCCAAGTAATCTTACCAGAAGACATCAAAGGCAGATTTCCTAATACAAGTTCCAGAAAAAAACCAGCACCATACTGAAGGCTCTGGGATGGTTATTACCAAGGACAACTACCAGGAAACACTACTAATCGTGAAGCTGTTCACTAGAATGAGAGATCCCTAGGGCAGGTATATCTTTTGTCCTAATTTGACCATTGTTCTATCCCTTGTGCTTAGAAAAGTTCCTGGCACACAGCAGACAGTCAGCATTTGATAAAGGAATAGGCTCACCTTAGACTTCTTTTTCCACTTCACAGCTTCCAGCAAAAGGAAACACAAATTACATGGCACTCACAGAGCTAGGAAGACTTCAGCCTGGGAAGGACAGACCAAAGCCCTCCAATCTCTTTACCCGCCACCCCTGTTAGAGTTACAGGTTGCTGCCTACAAAAGGCCATGGCAACATGAGACAAACGACTGCCTAAAATGTGGCTGATGCTAGTTACAGACTCTTCTCTGGCTATTTAGAAGAGCTGTGAGAGCATCTCCATTAGAGATGCCAGGCCAGGGACATTCAAAACAGTCATCTAGACACGCAGCAAATGAAAGCCAGCCTGCGGGAAAGCATACCTCTAGAAGAATCCAGAAAGCCCTGACCTGATTATGTGGAGAAATACTTTCTCAAACCTTCAAGCCTTTCATTGCCAATTATTCATGTACTTACTTGGAAAAAACAGTGACATTTCTAAATGTCAATAAGTTATATGGAGCAGCAAAGTCAAAAATTCTTCTCATGACCTTATAAGAGACCGAAACTATACCTTAGGTCTCCACAGGCAAAAGGAAGGCACAAATCAGGAAGCAAAAAGTAATCATAAAAAAGTAATTAGAGTGGGCACTAACACTATACACAGATGTCTATATAGTGATGTTCTCTCCAGTGGAAAACTAAAACAAAATAAGGCCAGGAGCAGTGGCTCACACATGTAATCCCAGTGCTTTGGGCAGCTGAGGCAGAAAGATTGCTTGAGCACAATTTAAGACCAGCCTAGGCAACATAGTGAGACTTTGTCTCTACTAAATAAACAAATAAATAAGCCATCATGGTGGTGTACACCTGTAGTCCCAGCTACTTAGGAGGCTGAGACAGAGGGATCACCTGAGCCCAAGAGGTTGAGGCTACAGTAAGCCATGACGCCACTGTACTCCAGCCTGAATGAGAGTGAAACCTCGACTCAAAAAAACAAAAACACAAAACAACAACAAAAAAGAAATAAAAACTAAACCACAACTAAATGCCCAGTTATAGACATTTTTAATTACTTTAAAATTATTACCTATATACCATATGCACATATCAGTATAAATACCATGAGGCTTTGAACAGGGTATGACAACCCTCAATATTTTGATATGTGAAGATAAATACAATCTATTCTTAAGTTTTAAAAAAGAAGGGTAGTTTACAGACCAGTCTGCACAGAATAAATCCACTCATTCAAAAAACAGAAATCTATGTATCAATAAATACTTATCTTTATATGTGTATAAGAACATGTCCTGACATGGTGACAACTGCTTCCTCCAGAGAGTGTGACTACACAGTAGACAACTACATTATACTTCATGTACTTCAAAAATTACTCAACAAACTTTTTAGAACGAGAGTATATTTCTTCATAATGAGGGAGCAAGTCCAGCAGACTTTTTTCCCCTTATATGTCCTTGAGCAACATTGTTTTCCTCCCTCTCCAAAGCAGGAGTTATGCAAAATTTCCACTGCTGAGGTTGCTCTGAGAGTTTTCCAGGTGTAATAGCTTATTTAGACCAAATAATCTCTTTTGGCACATGTCCTATCTCAGCTCATAGCTAATGAGTTACTCTCAAGCTGCTATCTATGTTTAACTTATTTCAAGATAAGTCTAGTGAGGATTTTGTTTTGTTTAAAGAACACAGACAATCATGCCTCGAGTTCACAGTGAATGGCCACGCAGCTAACACTCGCCAACTCCATACCTGTTCACTTCAGCCCGTGGTAACCTGCTGTACAACTCCATCATGTCGACTGCTGATACTGTTTCCCACCCATTCGACAGGAGCCGTTCTTTCTAAAATGTGTGAAGAGAAATGGAGAACTACCAGGCACCATGGTACAAATCTGAAACACTTTTAAGCATGCCAGACTTTCTCTGAGACAATCACTCTCTCAAAAGCACATTCTGACCCCTAGCATCGTTCCTTTTACTTTCCAATTTTTCATATTGAACATGGATTGTTACAATAGGGAGCAGCTCACTAAAGTATATTCAGAAAGAAATACAGGACGAACTTTTCTATAAGTAGCAGTTTTTTAAGGCATTCTAGTGGCAATATGATATAAGACATGTGAAAACTAACCCATTTAAATAAAGGTAGGAAAGGGAAGTATCTCCAGCAAACTAATGACATTTTTTAAAAAGGGGTGGACTATTATAGATTCAAAGAGATTTAAGGGACATGTCAATCATCTACAAAGTGTGAACCGTATTTGGATCCTGATACAAACACACGAACTATATAAAAAAGTGTGTTTTAAACAACTGGGGAAAACTGAACATGGACTGGGTATTAGATGTCATAAAGGAGTTATTGTTAACTTGTGAGGTGCGATCCATGAAATGGTATGGTATTATCACTGTCCTGGCGAAGGAAGTCCTTGTGGGTCTTTCTGATCCACATTGAAGTATTTAGGAGTGAATCAAGTACTGTCTGGAATTGGTCTGAAAATATTTCAACAACCCCAACAAAAAAATTATAGTGGGAATACATTAAACAACAGAGGCAAAATGATAATAAATACTGAAGACGGCTGATAGGACGTGGGTGTTCATTCCACCATTCTCTCTACCTTTAGGTTTGTTTAAAAATTTTGCATAACAGTGATACTGCGTGTGGGGGGGGGGAGGTAGAGAGGAAGACAACATCAATAATGGTACCTGATCTTAAACCAGGCAAAGTGGGATTAAAGGGCGATGACTTGTATACCTAATCCAGAACTGTACTCCACATCTTTAAAATAAAAATAAATAAAAATTTTGCAAAATAAAGTTAAAATAACAAGGTATAGGAAATGTAAATTTGAATTTTAAATATCAAGATGGCAAAGCAGGACAGGTGCTTCCCAGTATCATAAACTAGTGGCCACATGTAGCCGAGGCTGCCTATGCTAGCAGGTTAATACTTAACAGGGGTTCTTGAAACATCTTATCTACAAAGGGAGATCTTTACACATCTTGACTGATAAGGGTACAAATGGATGTCCCAGTCCCTCTCTCTGACCTGTGATTCTAATGACTTGCAGGTTTCCACTCCTGCCAGATCACATTGTCGTCTCCGCAAATTTTCAATCATGATCTGCCCAAATCGATCACCCATGTTCACCTAGGAAAGAAAAGAGGAAGGCAGGGCATCATTATAAGGGTTTGTTTCTTAAAGATGCAAAGTAAGACAACAATTCTATTTTGAACCAATCAAGGCTGATGTTTAATAATACACACCCAATGTAGGTAAAGGAATGGGGAGCAGGCGCCAGCACACAGTGCTGATGGGGGCATAAACTGAAGTGGCCTCTTGAAGGGCAACTGGACAGAGTACAACCATTTTAAATGCTCAACCTGTGGTTCAACAATCCACTGTTAGCAATATATCCTACAGAAAAACTCACAAGTGTATGCTAAGATGCAAGAATGTTTACTACAGCATTCAGTATAATAGGAAGAATCTGGAAATAAATTTTATTTTGGTGGAGAAAGGCTATGTGGCACTAATGATCAGACTATTCATCTAGGATAGGTGTTTGTGAGCACATACTACATTATTTTATTACCTGGATTTGAATTCTGGCTTGGTATTTAAAATCTGTGAGCTTAACTCTCTGTGCCTCAGTCTCCAGACCCATAAATTAGGATCATTAAATAGTCTAATAAATATTAAACTCATAGAACAGTGACTCATATGCAGTAAACAAAATCTAAGAATTTGCTATCATTACTGAAATTATCATCCATGTGGTTCTGTCATCTTAAACTACTGTTTAGAAAATAATGTAAGGCATGTAAGCAATTAGTACACATTGTGGAGATGCTGCTGATTTTGTGTTGAATTAAGTTTAATGCTTATTATTTACAAGGTGAGGGTGGTCGGTGGGAGTTGAAACAGTTTAGGGACAGCTGTAAACAACACTGAAAACTTGCACATTCCCAGGCTTGTTCCAAAGTTGCTGGTCAAATTTCATTTAATCCTACATCTCTCAGATGATGCTGAATAAATGCTTGCTGAGCAAAAAAATACACAAATCAAGCAAAGTGAATGAAGCAGCACACATCTGAAGAGTGCTGCTTCATTTTCCCCAGGTGTGGTATCCTGAGAGCAAAGACAGGCTCCAGGAATAATTCACATCAAAAGAAAATACCAACAAGGCCAGCTTCCGTTATGTCCATTCATCCGTCAGATGGAAGATGAAATCTGAAGAATGCTCCCAAATAAAGAGAGAGAGGGAAGTAAAATCAATCAATCAAGAACCATCTTTCCAGGAGCCTGGACTGGAAGGGAGCTGGGAAGGAGGCCAAAAGACCAAGATCTAGACCTAGATCTGTCCATAGTTATATGACATTGGGCAAGTCCCTTTATTGCTTTATCTGCAATAAAATATAATCCAGAGAGGTAGGTATTATCCTTTTAAAAAAGGACTGAGGCACAGAGAGATCCAAATAAGAGCTAATGCTTACTTAATGATGGGCAATGCTGTAAGTGCTTTTGCATACATTAACTCATTTATACCTTGCAACAACCCAAAGAAGGGACTTGTTATTTTCATATGAGGTAACAGGCATAGAGAGATTATATCACTTGTCCAGATCACATAGTAAGAAAGTCTACCTCCAGAGCATGACCTCCCAATCACTAAGCAATGCTGCTTACAGGCACACAGCCAGTAATAAGAGCTAGGGCTAGGATTCAGACCAAGCTAGACCATTCCAAAGCTATAAAATTTAACTTTTTTTCCAGCAAACAGGCAGTCCAGTGGATCAAACTCAGTAATTTAAGAAATTGGGAAATCTTACATAAAAATCCTAAATTTCTAAGATCTTTTGAAAAACAGGGAGTTCTGGCAACTCCCGTGTCCACATGGTAACAACTGGCTGGAAATGGGCAGTGGGCACCCCCATGAGATAGGATATGGATACTCCAGTTCACCATACTCCCCCTCACTCCACACTACTTACACCTAGCCAACTTTCTCCATTTGTACCATCTGCCTGGCCCTGAAGTCATTTGAGTTTGCCATCCCTATGCTGACAGTAGGCAAAATCCCCTTCATCACATTCTAGGACTATACTAATGATAAAATAAGAACGCAAAAAACTTTTGTAAACCCTAAGATGGAAGTTCTAATGACTCTGGCAAAAAGTCTGCAGTAAGTCAAGAAATCAGGAGTGCAAGGATTGCTGGAACTGATGAACAAAGGACATTCCAGTGGCTGGAGGCAAAAAGAAAAGAATAAGGGAAGTACACACTTGAAGGTGTTAAGAGGGAAAGCCACCACCACTGGCATCCTATGCCTGAATCCAATTTTCTTGGGCTTTCTTTTACCTGTTCATAGTTTATGAACATGGCAGTCTCAAAACTGCTGGCTGCCCACTTTAGGAGGTTTGCAGACTGCTCCGGGGTCATGTAAACCAGCACACATTCAGTTATCAGGAGGGTTGGCAATCTTAAAAGAAGAAAAAAGAGTACACAATTACGTTTTTATTAAGTCAGGACCTTCTAATTGTGCATACGGTGAGGTATAGGCAGGGCAGGTCCTACCTCAGAAAAATCAGAAGGACTGAGCAAACACAGCTTCGATCAGTACAGTAATGTGTGTAATTCCATCACAACCCAAAGTTCTACACTGTACAAAGGTGAGCAGTGAGCAGTGATTTGTCTGGTTCATGAAAATGTGTTACGTATGTGGCTGACTATGAAAATGGCTACACATTCTCCCCTGCTGTGTACTCACACCGCAGCAATGTAACATCACAGATTCTCCCATTTAAGAGGCGTCTATTCTCCTCCCCCTGGAATCTGAGCTAGCCGTGTATCTTACTTTGACTAATGGGACTGTACCAAACATGATGCAAGCAGAAGCTTGAAAATCACTTACATATGGGCGCTTGCTCTGTTGCTGCACTTGGAAACATGAAACCACTATGTGAAGGAACCCAAGCTAGGCTGCTGTAGGATGAGAGAACTGTGGAAAAAATGAGGCACTCCAGCTGACAGTCAGTCAGCCCCCAAGCTGACTGGCCACTGTCCACACATAAGTGAACTCCTGGGTATATCAGCTAAATCCGGCTAAGACCAGCCCGAAGTGCCAATTCACAGAACTCTAAGCCTCTAGGCTGAGGCAGGAGGATCACTGCCCCAAGAGTTCAAGGCTGCAGTAAGTCATGAATGCATCACTGCACTTAGTCTGGGCAACAGAGCAAGACCCCGACTCTTAAAAAAAAAGAGCTGATTGATACAATGCAGAAATACTCATATTCGTTTAATAGAAATCTAATTCTTTTTATATAAGTTTTCACCACTAAGAAATGAAAACAATATGAATTTTTTCAAGAAATTACATTATTAGAATATACTCTGATTTACCAGATCCAAAGGAATCAACAACTTATGTAATAGGAAAAGCAACAAACTCCTAAAAAAGATTCTTAATTTTGAAAAGAAACACTGGCGACTCACAAATTATATACAAGTCAACTGGATGCAACTCACAGGCATTCTTCCTTTTTTGGACCATTCTTTACTCCATTTCAAGGGTGGGGACAGCTTTCTTGACTGTCACGTACCCAGCTAGCATGGCACAGGGTCAGTGCTGACAGGACTGGTGAAGCCTGAGAAGTTCTCTCCCCATGTCTAGAAGTCTTCTCTATTGGCTTTTTTCCTAGTTCATTTACGGTCTCTTCAGACTTGAGTCACCATGCCCAGTTAAAAAAATAAATTTCACGAAATCAAATGCCCAATAAGACATTGGTTGAAAAGACATGGCCGGGCGCAGTGGCTCAAGCTTATAATCCCAGTACTTTGGGAGGCTGAGGTGAGAGGATTGCCTGAGCCCACGGGTTTGAGAACAGCCTGGGCAACTTGGCAAGACCTCATCTCTACAATAAATCAAAAATTAGCTGGGTGTGGTAGTGCACACCTGTAGTTCTAGCTACTTGGAAGCCTGAAGCAGAAGGATCACCGGAGCCTAGCAGGTCAATGCTGGTGTGGCCATGAGCCTGCCACTGCACCCCAGCATGGGAGACGGAATGAGACACCAACTCAAAAAAAGAAAAAAAAGAAAAAGAAAAAGGTATGGTATGTCCTACCCAAAAAGCTGCTACATAGCTCACAAGTATGGTGTTTCAGAATTATATTTATTGACATGAAAGTTATCCACGGTCTCCAGATTCAAGGGCTAGTATATGCTTCCCTACACTTCTTCAAAGCAGGTACCACAAAAGTAAATTACACAATCAAATGTAATTAGTTGTTTAATGTCTTTTCCTCACACAATAATGTGTAAGCTTTTTTGTTCATGGCTCTATAGTGAGCACTTGTACCTCACAGATTCTCCATTATTTGCTAAATGGGTGAATAAACAAACAAGTGACTATGTACATATATACACACATACATATACACATATATTTGATTATTTAAAAGTTCCAAAACTGTACGTGTAGTGTAATTACATCTTAAAGAAAAATATGTATTTTCAAATTTTAGCATTAGATTTATTAAGGTGGTTATCTGAATATTAGGATTAGAAATTCTTTTTATCTTCTCTTCTAGAAACTATCAGAATCATCAGCGGGCCAGGCACGGTGGCTCACACCTTTAATCCCAGCAGTTTAAGAGGCCGAGGATGGAGGATTGCTTGAGCCCAGGAGTTTAAGACCAGCCTAGGCAACATAGTGAAACCCTGTCCCTATAAAAAAAATCAAAACATTAGCTGGACATGGTGGATATGCCTGAAGTCCTAGCAACTCGTGAAGCTGAGGTGGGAGGATTGTCTGACCCCAGGAGGTTGAGGCTGAGTGAACTGTAATCATGACACTGGACTCCAGCATGGGTGACAGAATAAAAACCCCCAACTAAAAAAAAAAAAAAAATCGTCAGTGACAGCTACAACTATAGAAATGAATAGCATTTCTCAGAGATATTTTTAAAAAACAGTTATCAACATCCACAACTGCTAACATTTATTGTAAGATTCTATTATCATTCTCATTTTTCAGAGGAGGAAACAGAGATGCAGAAAGAAGACTTAAGTTGTGCAATGTCACATCTAGTATACATTCCTGTTAGAATTCAAACCTGTGCAGCTAGACTTAGCCCCTAGACTCATGACTACCACGTTATACGAGAGAAAAGGCTGCCTGAAAGTAAACACTGGCTTTGACCCGACAGTTCAGCCATCCACCTGTTTTGCTCATCTGGATTTCACTTTTCTAAAACATGTTATATAACTCAAGTTATTTGAAAATATATACTGCTCACCAGCCAATGTGGCCCCACCTGAATCATATACAAAGAAACAGAGACCACTAAATCCATAAGAAAGTAAAGCAAGCCCAAGGATGAGTTGTAAACAGAGCAAAACTGAAAGAAAAATATTAAAGATTTTAAAAATAAATCATCTAAACCTAAAACATCAGATCATATCACTAGAAAGGCTAGAAAAAGTGAATGAATGAAAAAAATTCCAAACCTTGTCTAGTAAGTTGATTACTAAAGAAATACAGTTTCAAGAATATGTCTAAAACAAAAGGCAACCATTATTATATAAGATTCTTAATTTTTTGTTTTGTTTTGTTTTTGAGTTGAGGTCTCACTCTGTCACCTAGGCTGGAATGCAGTGGCATACTCATGATTCACCCATCCTCAAATTCCTGGGCTCAGGCGATCCTTCCACCTCAGTCTACTGAGTAGAGTGGGACTACAAGCATGGACCACCATGCCTGGATAATTTTTTCTTACTTTCTGTAAAGACAAGGTCTTGCTATGTTGCCTAGGCTGGTTTTGAACTCCTAAACTCAAGCAATCCTCCCATCCTGGCTATTATGTAAGATATTAACACATGGGGATGCTAGGTGATGAAGGCTGCGTGGGAATTTGTTTTGTGTTCTTTTTTTTAAATCTGAATTATTTGTAAATGAAAAGTTAAAAATGTTTTTAAAACTTTTTCTTAAGGTAGCCACTAGCATTAAAAATAGGATGAATGGTTAGGTGCGACAGCTAACTTTGGGAGGACAGGGCAGGGGATTGCTTGAACCCAGGAGTTTGAGAACAGCCTAGGCAATGAAGTGAGACCATGTTTCTCAAAAAAAAAAAAAAAAAATCGAAAAATTAATTGGGTTGGTGGGGTCGCCGTAGTCCCAGCTACTCAGAAGGCTGAGGTGGAAGGATCACCTGCACACTAAAGGTTGAGGCTGCAGTGACTGGATCAAAGAGTGAGACTCACCTCCGACTCATTAAAAAATAGGATTAGTACTTTCTAAAACATTTGAGGGGTGAACCCAAAAAAGCCGGAATTATTGCTTGAGGGTAGATCTCTTGTAGTACACTTGGAATTTGGGATCAAATGGTCAAGCAAAGTTTTTATCTGGAAGTTATGAGAAGATTACATCATGATTTGCAGAAGAAATGTCCCAAGTTGTGGCAAACAGGTGACTGGTTCTTCCAACCATGACAATGTACCTTGCCCACACCGTGCTAAGCGTTCAGCAGTTTTTGACCAAAAACAGCATGACCCCCCACCATGTCCCACCCTCCCTATTCACCCAATTTGCCCCAAGCACCTTTCTGTTTCCCCAGGTGAAAAATGTTTTCAAAGGGAAATGTTTTGCTGATGTGGAAGAGGTTAAAAAAAAAAATCAGAAGCACTAAAAGGCATAAAAACTGAGGAGTTCATAAACTGTTTTGAACAGTGGAAACAGCATCTTGATAGGTATATCTGCATCCAATGGAGAGTACTCTGAAGGTGACTGAAGTTTAAACATGTGAGAATAAATACACAATTTTTTAATAAATAAATTTGGGTTTTTAAAAAATTCCCCCTTATAAGTAAAGGCCAGGTGCAGCGGCTCACACCTGTAATCCCAGCACTTTGGGAGGTCAAGGCAGGAGGATTGCTTGAGTCCAGGAGTTTGAGATCAGCCTAGGCAACATACCAAGACCTTGTCTCTACAGAAAATAAAAAAATCATCTGGCCATGGTGGTGCCTGCCTGTATTCCAGCTACTCAGGAGGCTGAGGCAGGATTGCCTGAGCCCATGAGAATGAGTTGTGATCGTGCCACTGCAATCCAGCCTAGGCAACAGAGTGAGAACCTGACTCAAAATAAATAAATAAAAATAAGTGAAAGAAAAGTATAGAAGACAACCCAAATGAAAATATAGAACACACCGGGCTCGGTGGCTCAGCCTGTAATCCCACACCTTTGGGAGGCTGAGGTGAGTGGATTGCCTGAACCCGCAGGTTCGAGACGCCCCTGGGCAGCGAAACCTCATCTCTACAATAAATTAAAAAATCAGCCGGGCGTGGTAGCACATGCCTGTAGTTCCAGCTCCTTGGAAGGCTGAGGCCGAAGGATCGCCGGAGCCCAGCAGGTCGAGGCTGCGGTGGCCGGGAGTAGCCACTGCACACCAGTCTGGGTGACAGAGTGAGATTCCAACTCAACTCAAAAAAAAGAAAATATAGAACACAAATGAAACTGCATGGAAGAATTAGGCATGTAATTCTAATATTTGCTATATTAATTGTTTTTCAACCATAGTATAGATTTTCAAAAGCAAGGCAAACTTTCCTATCAAGAGGTAGCCCAATTTATAACTGATTATTTCCCTGACCTTTCATCTCATCTGCTGAAACAGTTGGCTACTGTGATTGCAGTGGATTCAGATATGGCTTACCTGGTGCCAAGTATGTGCCCATTTCTGTTCAATTGTTTTCACATGCATTATTTCATTTACTCCTCAAACCATCTTGTCAAATCGTTTTTATCCCAGCTCATAAATAAAGAAACCAAGGCTCATAGATGGTTAGAAAGAAAAATTTTTTTTTTTTGAGTTGGAGTCTCACTCTGTCGCCCAGACTGGAGTGCAGTGGCCGCTCCTGGCCAC